GAGAGAGACTGGGTGGGGGAGGGGGGCTGATGGGGGAGGGAGGGAGACTGGCGGGAGAGAGACTAGGGGGAGGGAGAGAGACTGGGGGAGAGAGAGAGATAGAGAGGGGAAGCAGAGAGAGAAAGACAGAGAGAGATAGAGAGGGAGAGAGACGGGGTGGGGGGGGAGGCGAGACAGACTGAGAGAGAGAAACTGAGACAGAGAGACAGGGAGACAGGGAGAGACTGAGAGAGAGAGATAGACAGAGAGACTGAGAGAAAGAGTCACTTGAGAGAGAGGCGGAGAGAAAGAGAGAGATATAGAGAGGGGAGGCAGAGAGACAGAGAGAGGGAAAGAGAGAGAGACAGAGAGAAAGACTGAGAGAGACACTGAGTGAGAGCAAGAGAAACTGAAAGAAAGAGACTGAGAGAGAGACAGACTGTGAGAGAGACTGAGAGAGATAGAGAGACTGCGAGAGACAGACAGACAGAAAGTCTTAGATAGAGACAGAGAGAAAGAGAAATTGAGAGAGAGTGACTTAGAGCAAGATAGACAGGCAAAGCTGAGAGACTGGGAGGGAGAGAGGCTGGAAAAGAGAGAGACTAGGAGAGAGAGACTGGAACAGAAAGACTGGGACAGAGATAGAGAGAAAGAGACAGAAAGAGAGGGACAGAGGGAGAGACTGAAAGTGAGAGAGACTGAGAGATACAGAAACAGACAGAGAGGGAGAGAAAGGGAGAGAGAGAGAGAAAGGGAGAGAGAGAAAGAGAGAGAGAGGGAGAGACCTCAGGAGAGACTGAGACAGAGACACTGCCAGTGAGAGACAGAGAGAGATAGAGAGACACAGAGAGAGAGAGATAGGGGCAGAGAGAGAGAGGAGAGAGACAGAGAGAGAGAGAAATGGAGAGAGACTGAGATAGAGAGACTGAGAGACAGAGTGAGATAGAGAGGCAAAGCAGAAAGACAGAGACAGAGAGAGAGAGACAGAGAGAGAGAGGCAGAGAAAGAGAGGCAGAGAGATAGAGAGATTGAGAGACAGAGAGACACAGAGAGAGAGAGAGAGACTGAAAGAGAGAGAGAAAGGGAGAGAGAGACTGAGACAGAGAGACTGAGAGAGAGTGAGATAGAGAGGCAAAGCAGAAAGACAG